CAACCCAAAACAAACCAAACCAAAACCAAACAAACACAAAAATAATTCTGTTCAAAGTAAATCAAGTAAATATTGAATATTTTGACATTATGAATATTATTGGAGGTTTTTAGTGTATATTTAGGCTCAAGAGTTTATAAGTGAGAGCTGTGTATAAATTGTTTTCTAAGTAAATTTCTTTTTGCTGTACATTTTGTATAATATTGTAAATACTTATCATTGTGTGCTTTTGTGGAGCATTGAACTGTTGCCAAACTTTTCCTGTTCTAGCAACATTAAAATTTTAAAAAGAAAAAAAAAAATGTTTGTGCAATGCCATGATTGAAATCAATATAGTATTGGGTGTGTTTATTTTTGCTTTTGAGTTTGAATCAAAAAATATAGGTTTCTTCCTCAAATGTATCATAATCTATGTGATTTGTCAAGAAAACGTGAGCTTAAGCTAAAACAATTCAAAATACTTTAGAATTGAAGTGATCCTTAGCTGCCTCCACTGTTCTTGTTAACAAAAAACCTTTTGTCCTTCCTTATTATCATGTCATTGCACATATTTAACAACTTACCTGACTTGTTGGTTTGTGAATTGGTTTTACTAATTAGCCTGAAGTATTTTGTGTTATAAGAATCTGATCTTTTTTAGGTTATGACAAACTAAAAGCTTGTTATCCCAAGTAATTTCATCCCAGTTACTACCTGGTATTACCATGTTGTTAAAATACAGGAAAAGATTTTCACAATCAGAAAAAAGATTTAAAGATCCCACTGTGTTAGTGTGTGTTTCTTCAAATCCATTTAAGTTAATTGGATATTTGGAATTAGCCAAGGCCTATCTTGGTTCTGAGTATTAAAGAGGAAGATTTGATATTTTATTCTTTTTCTTTGCAACAAACAGTGTAGAACAGAAGAAATAAATAAAACATGTAGATAAAATGTGAGTTGTTGTGGAAGCATTAAAAGGCTACTGTAGAAATTGCAGTCAGTGGTGATGAACAACAGCAGAATTGTCTTTCAGTCTAAGGAATTTCTAACTGCATATAAGTGACAACATAATCTATGTGGTTACTGACACTGCAGAATTAATTCCAAGTGCTGATCTTTCCTTGTCACACTAAAAATTAGTCAGGGCAGCTTAAATCACCTAATTGAGATCTCTGCTTCAGATATGATTTTACTTTGCATTGAATTCAGGAGGAGCCATTTGAAAATTAATAAATATCTCCACTGTAGATAAGTCCCCAAATCCTCTGACACACTCACCTGGGTCAGGACTTGCATTAGGCTGTGTCTTAATGTCAAATCACTCCAAGGCACTAGTTCCATGTATCATAGAACCATAAAATGCTTTGGGTTGGAAGGGGCCTTAAAGCTCATCCAGTTCCAACCCCCCTGCCATCAGCAGGGACACCTTCCACTAGACCAGGTTGCTCAAAGCCTGGATGTATGTGATGAATATTGAAATTATTTACATATTCAGTGATTTAAGTGCAATCAGCATATTCACAGAGCACTACTTAGAGCCTTGAATTCAGAAGCTTTAGTATTTCTTCCTGTTAGTCCCAGGACTGCACTCAAAGCCCTTCTAAGGTACAGTGAAAACATATTGGAAGACCTGATGCTTGTTTGCTTTGACCACTTCCCAAACAGCATTAAATTAGTTCATGCAAAAATAAACTGAATCAGTGCTTTCATGTTTTTTACTAGACTGATTGATTGACTCAAAACAGTGTTAAGGCAAGTTGTGCCTCGACTGAGTCATTTTGTGTATCTGAAATGCTTCATGAGCAGTTAGAGGAATTAAACTGTAGAACAACTGTTAGTTTCCATTACAGAGAAGTTTGGGGATTTTGGTGATCTTTGATGTTAGAAGTTTGGGAGAAAGTACTATGTGGGGGGAAGACATGATTGAACAAAGTTTAGACAGAAAGAAGGGGAGGGAAGGGTGGGTGGAATAATTCAGACACAGAAAAAAATACTCTCATTGTATAGAGAAATGTCTTTAAAGAGGCAGCTTTTATGTTACCAGGGCTCCGAGTGGGGATCACTTCTGTGAAGGGCGAAAAACCAGCTGAAATCTATGAATTCTTCCTCACCACTCCTTTTCAAAATGCTTATTTGATTTGCTGTAACTACATTAGCTGCCATATACTTTCCCAGTGTATATTTCTAACCACTTTGGGAAACTCTCACCTTGGGAAAAAAAGTTACACTGATGTGGAGGGAGAGGGGTGAGGTAGAAGAAAAAAGCATTTTATTTTTGTTTGGAGTTATGGCACCCTTGCAAGAACATCTAGATGGTATAAGATGTTTTTATGGTATATGTAGTGTTATTATATTTGTTTTTTTCTGATCAGTTCTGTCACTAGCTGACTCAAAAGGTATGGTAAAATAAAAAAAATGAGACATTAAGAGGCTGGGGTAATGCTAAATAATAGGCTCAAGTACACAGTGACAAAGCAGACATGAGGTTTCTATTATATTTGTTTTTTCTGATCAGTTTTGTCACTAACTGACTCAAAAAGTATGATAAAATAAAAAAAATAAGACAGAGGCTGGGGTAATGCTAAATAATAGACTTAAGTACACAGTGACAAAGCAGACATGAGGTTTCTTCTGAATGCTGGAACTGTTAAGTCTTAATGATCTAAAACTGACTTAGCAAAGTAGTCAGAACCTCATTCTTTAAGCTCTGCAGGTTTTTCTGGTACATACAACTCACTGTGCTCATTTAGAAACAGGAGATGAAGTGAATGTAGGATATTGTCTGTTATTTGTGTTTCCATAGTACATAGGGGGATGAAGTCATTGCCTGGAGAATCCAAGTGAATTTCACAATAAGTTATAGTGTTAAACGTCTTTTGTTTTCTCTGAACTGTTGAAATACAATAGTTAAATATTTATTTAAATAAACCAGTGTACAAACAGGGGACTGATTTCTCTGTGGAATTTAACTTGAAGACTGTGGAATCCTTACACCATGTTCTGGTTTGTGAAATAATTCAGAAACTCAAGAGAATTCAGAAACGACTTCAGGCTGATGCTTTGTGCACTCTTTGCTTAGGTTTTATGTATCCTCTGGAAGTATTGTGATTACTTCTGCAGTGGTAACTGAAGAAGGATCTGAAATGTCTGTAAAAAGAAGGATAAGTCTAGAATTCTGCTGATAGCTTCTGAAATTTAGGTTTAACTTGGTGTACATTTAAACTGAACTGTGATTCTCTAGCTAAAAATGGGCAACCCATTCATTAAATCACAGTGTTAGACAAGCCAGACTCCTGATAATTCCATGAGAGAAGATTCATTTGCAGGGGACTCTGGGTTGTTGGGTTTTTCAGATATGCCTTTGTTTTGATGGGTGCTATTTGTAATCCTGTAGGTCCCCTGGTTGTTTCATGGTTGTTTTTCTCTGTCAACAGAAAACCAGTTAAAAATCAAAGAAGAAAAAGAGGAAGTGGAGGAACAGTCAGTGCAATTGGAAAGCCTTCCTCTTCCTGCCGTCAAAGAAGGTGAAAATATAATGAAAATTGAGAAAGTGGAAGAAAAGGAAATTATAAAATTGCCAGTAATAGTAAAATTAGAGAAACCTTCAGAATTCAATGAAGAAAAACAAACTGGTAAAGAAGAAAGTGACTCATTTAAAGAAAATGTCAAGCCTGTTAAAGTAGAGGTGAAGGAAAACAAAATAGAACCAAAAGACTTAAAAGAAGTAAAAAGTTGTACGGACAAAATAGCAGTTCATGAGCCGGAGAGGTTAGAATTTTGTGTTAATGTCAAAACTCCCCAAGAAATTGTGGAGAAATCTGTGGAAGAAAGTGAGAAACTTAAAAATGACCAGCAGGCAAAAATCCCACTTAAAAAACGAGAGATCAAACTGACGGATGACTACGACAGTCCGATAAAGGGGCCTCTATGTAAATGTGTTACTCCAACAAAGGATGTCTTGAAGGAAGAAGGGAAACCAGAAGAAGAAGCTTTTAAGAGAGTCCCTACAATTACTGCTTTATGTCCTGATGGGAAAATACTAGTAAACGGAGAGGTTAGCTGTGAAAAAATCAGCCCAAGTGTCATACAAAACAGTAGGTCAGAACACTCTGCTGGCATGAAGGAAGACAGCAGCTCGTTGAAAGAGAGAAATGGAAAAAGCGGAGAAAAGGTATCAGACTCCATAAATTCTGTTAGTAAAATTATAAAAGTGTGTGAAGCTGAGAAAAATGCAGTAACTGTGGTGAAAGAAACGGGGGCTGTGGTCTCTGAGGTTTCTAATCAGAAAGTGCCTTTAAAAGAGGAATCTAGTCCTGTGGAAAAAGAGTCCCTTGACAGCACAACTACTGAAACGGTAGTGGAAGAGTCTTCAAACTCTGAAGACTGTGCCAAAACAATGGAAGATAAACTAGCTGTGAAAATCAAAAAGGACAGACTGCCACCACCCAAAGAATGTTTAGAGAAGCTAGAGAAGTCCACAAATGCATCTCCTCCTGCAGAACTGCCCAAGCTTGCACTGTCTGATGAAGAGACTTTGAAAAGTAAAGGTGAGTCTGAAGAGAAACCTGATTCTCCAAAAGCTGCTGAGATACCCCCTTCATCTACATCTCCCGTGACTTTAGAGAAGCCTGTGTTGGACAAGGAGGGCTCTGACAGTAAAACAGCTCTACCTGAGGAGAGCAAAGTAGAAGCAAAACCCAGCCTTGAAAAACAAAAGGAAGAGCCAGAAGCTGCCAAGACAGAGCCAGATAGATTAGATGATGCTCATGCTTCTAATCTAGAAGACTCCTCAGAGAGTAAAAAGGAATCTCCACTACCTAAAAGCAAATTTAAATATAAGCTAGTCTCTGAAGAAGAAAGCTGTGCAACAGATAATAAAGAAATAACTTCAGAAAGGCAAAAAGAAGGAATTAAATTAACAATCAGGATCTCCAGTCGGAAGAGAAAGGCAGAAACGCCGCCAGAAGAGGTCAGCATTGGCCGCACGTTGAGGCGATCTCCAAGAATATCCAAGCCTACTCCAAAAGTTGTGGAGACTCGGGATCAGAAACCTGATAAAAAACGACCTGAAGAGGAAGAGGAGAAACCTGCAGCAGCACAAAAACCAGAACGAAAAGAAGATGCAAAAAAACACGAGAAGGAATCAAATTCAAAGGTTAACAAGGTAATACAGTTTTATTACCCAGGAATAAAGAGTACTCACAGTCTTCTTTATAAGGAGAATATACACTTACGTAGGAATATTGAGGATTTAGTTCTTTTGGTCAGTTTTTGCAAGGAACTGGCTTTGCAATCCAGTTAGTGGACTGAACAAATCTAAAAACACCCCCTAAAAGAGAGTGTTGACTTATTGGTTTATAAAAATCTGTCATTTAACCTAAACTTAAGTAAACCAAGTCAAACAGAGTGAATTCTTCTAAGAAAAGAAATGATCAGACCTGAGTCAGTCTGGCTGAGTGGCTGAATGGAGACTTCTAGCTCCTGTGGATTTACTAGATGGATACTTGTTGGTGTCTGGTTGGTCAGTTTGAGGATGATCATAAGCCTCAAAGGAACCAAAAAATGGTGAAGAATAAAAATATTATGACTTCTGTTTCTAGGTGAAGCTAAAGTTATTGTTTTGGTGAGTTCATGATATAATTGAGCTTTTTTAGTACGTGGGATACATTTTACTTTGGGTGGAGGTGTCTCTTTTCATAATAAACTTTCACTTCTGCAGCATGGATCTTAAAAAGTATGTCAGGTAGATAAAACATTGAAGGTACCTATGTATAGTGTGCTTCTGAGTCTAATAATTAACTTTCACTTTTGCAACATGGATCTTAAAAGTATGTCAGGTAGATATAACACAAAACATCAAAGGTACCTATGTATAGTGTGCTTCTGAGTCTGTGTAGTTATAAACACCTTAATTTATCTTCCACTTTTTCTGCATATGGAGTACAGAAGACAAACAGGGAATAAAGAGTCTGTATGTTTTGTATCATCTTGAAATCCTGTTAATTTTTCCAGCACTACGCATTTTCTTACTGATTTTGCAGTTCTACCAAGACATTCCCTTATTTAGCAAGTTTTTCCCATACTTCTAATAAAATGAACAGTTGATTTTTCAGTGAATAACATCGATGCTGAAAAATTCTCATATACATAAAGAAATGAAAAGCAAATTTTTTTTTTTTTCATTTAAAGTTTTTCATTAAAAAGAAAATAAATGAAAATAATAGTGATTGTGTCCTACAAGTAGTTTTAATTTTGAATACTGTGGCTATGAGCTTTTTAACTTAATCTCTTTTTTGGACAATAAAGAGATTGAAAGATGCTTACTTTTCTAGAAACATTTTAAAATAAATATGATAGAGGAAGAAGTTTTAAACTAGTAAGATTCTGTCATTTAATCAAGAAGAAAAATGCCCAAGTCTTTAATAGGCAATTTTATATTTGTTTTCTTTTAAAGAAGAGTCTTTTAAAAATAGATTTGAAATGATGATGACATCCTAAACTTAAACTAATGCTATCATGGATTTAAAAGTACAGTTGCTAATGAATTTTAATAAACAGTAAAATCTGTAAAGAGGTAGAAATTAATGTTAAGAACCCAAAACAAAATTTTACCAATATGACAAATATTACTTTGGTACGAGTCTGTCCTGCAGGAGCAACAGAATATTTTGTACATTTTAGTTTATTCAGCTTGTTCAGGTCAATGAGTAGTTTAGTCAAAATTGAGAAGTGTTTTGAGTTGAAAATGCTAGAAAAGTTGTTTTTCTTTTTCACTGTCTGGGGAGGGAAGGAGTTGAGAGAATCATGTCTATAATAAACAAGTCAGTTAATGGGAAAATAAGTTTCTTCTGCTTTGTATGTTGCTTTAAATATAAAATATTCTAGTTACAGAAAGTAGTTTTAAGTAATACAAAATAATGTTCTGAATTTTAATTAAAAATTATTTTTAATTTAAAATATACTTTAAGCAGATCACTAGTAAAACTTGACACATCTAGAGGATAAGAGATGTCATTTTCCACTGTGTAAAATAAAAAGGGGGAAAGTCCAAGTAAATGCATGGTAAGACATAGGGTTGCTTTGCTAAGGTAGGTATGATACAAAGAGGTAGATTCCATTTTGATTAGCAAAAAAGAAGCATCAACTGAATCAGTTTTGACCTAATAAAAATACTGAAAAAGTGTAAGTGTGAAAGAAGACCTTGATATAAATTACACACATAAAAGCTGCAGTGATTTGATTTTAGATAAGTATGCTCGTCTTAGAGGAAAGCACCAGAAACACTTAAGTTACTGTACTTGTAAGAGTGCAAACATGTGTCCTAAAGCAAAATAAAAGACATAAATTGGGTTTTTTTCAGGGAAGAAGAAAATATTCTCTTAGGATTGAGAAAAGCTATCATCAAAAAGTCAGAAAGTTTAAATGTGACGTTTACCATGTTTAGAAGCAAGTTTACCTTCCTAAAATGGAAAAAAAAAGGCTGAGTGAGAAATTTGTTTTCCTGCTTTTAAATCTTACTTGGAAATGTATTTCTGCACGTAGATATGAATTTTTCTCCCTTTACTATCCTGTTGTATTTTAAGGCTTTTGAAATTTAAGGATTTTGAAAGACAATCCATTAACTGAAATGCTGTGTTGTAAATTTAGTGCAACTGTTCTGATTGAAATGAATCACTTCACTGTAGAGAAAGACATTTTTGAAGGTCTGAGAAGAAACTCTGTAAGTGTTCTCCTTTGTGTTTTCTCTCTCAAATGGTGTGTCCCATAGAGAAGCAAAGTTCGGTGGACGGGTACGCGGACGCGTGGCAGGTGGAAATACTCAAGTAACGAAGAAAGTGAGGACTCAGAGAGTCAAAAAAACTCTGATGAGGAGGAGGAAGAGGA